GGGGGGGGTTCATTAAAAAAGAGAAAAAACCCAGCAGTTTTTACTTCCATGGGGTAAGTTTAAGACACAATGACATATAACACTATCTAAAAATATATGGAAATATAAATTCATAAGATAGGCTACAGCAGATTACAAAATAACGGTGGGTGGTTGGCAGGTGCTCTGGTGCGGTTTGCTCCTTCTTTTCCTATCTAGCATCTATTGTCCTTTTTCCTCCCACTTTTTGGCGTTTGTAACTCTCTTGTAGAACCTCGAATCTTCGACACTTATATGACCTTATTGTGTTGCAAGTGCCATAAAACTCTTACTAAAACATAACAAAATAATAGTATCATTTCACATGAAACATTTACAAATAATTCCCCATATCCAACATTGTTGGCTGCTCCAGCACAAAGCGCTATTTTAAAGCGAGGTTTTGTATAAAGACTTGACTCATCCTGTGACCAACCAAAAACCACATCACCAACATTGTCTGAGAGACAGTTAAAGAGTTTTCACCAACTGCTTGAGCCCCAGAGTCTCAATATTTTCTTTGTACATGAAACAGCCATGTAATGAATACTAGCCATCTGATGGTCAAACAAAAAGACAAAAAAGATAATTATGGAAATAAAACTCTACTTGATAGTCACAGAAAGCAGAAAGCCATACATTATTGAAAATTGAATATTCTTATGGTCTAATTATCCAATACTGTATGTACTGAAAAATCAATTATATTACAATGGCCCAATAAATCCCAAGCACGACATAACAAAACTGAAAATCAATACTCTAACGAAACAGAAGTATCATAAAACAGTCTCATATAATGTCAATCAAAGCCTTGATATTCCTATAGATAAAGCAATACAATGCTCAGACCCAATGGATGCTTTAAGTCCAACGAACTTTGTCCCTTTAAGAAATTATTTTCTTGCAGTAGGTTTTCCATAATTTTTATGATTTACTCTCTCCTCTAGGTTGACCATCAGACTCTAAATTAGCACTGGGCGGTGTTGCTTCTCATGTGACTCACACTTCATGCACAATAAACTGAAAATATCAAATTCAAATTCTGCTGGAATCTGACTCGAACAACAAGGAAAATAAAACAAACAGAACTTCTCATCTCAAACAAGCCTGGCTCAGACATGTTACAAACAAATGTCATTAGTACAAAGTTCTAGGTCTAGTAGTGGGACATGTGTGAGCACTTGTATGAGTATACATATGTGTGTGTGTGTGTGTGTGTGTGTGTGTGTGTGTGTGTGTGTGTGTGTGT